TTTCACTTTATTATCACTTTGTGGCCCGCGTGTGATAAGGTCCTTAGAAAAAGAAACCTCCAAGTCAACCTATTATCAATAGCCCTGCTCTTGTCTTGCAGGCTCAGGACAGCCGTGGTTTCCTTAACAGAACCAATCCATCTGGAATATGGCCTTCCTCTTTTCCTACTGCCTTCTACCTTCCCAAGCATTATAGTCTTTTCTAGAGAATCCTGCCTTCTCAAGATGTGGCTAAGGTAGGCAGTCTTGGTTTAAACCTCTTGGCTTCTATAGATTTCCTTGATTTCCTCTAGGACCCATTTATTTGTATTTTTAGCAGTTCACACTATGTTGAAAAACTCTTCTCCAGCACATTTCACACCAGTTGATTTTCTTCCTATTAATTTTCTTTACTTTCCAGATATCACAACCATACATAGAAATGGGAAATAGGATGGCATGCACAGTCCTAACTTTAGTATTCAAGGATATATCTTGAGATTTCAGGATCTTGTCTAGTTCCTTCATAGCTGCCCCTGCAAGTCCTCGAATGAATCTGTCATCCTTTCCTCTCTTTTATATAGTTCTTCTGTGTATTGTTTCTAATATCTTTTTGTTTTTAGTTGGTCATGTAATCGCTTCTTCAGCCAGGCTCAGAGCATCCCCACTCTTGGTTTACATTTCCCTGTCATTCCTTGGGTTTTGTAGAAGTCTCTCGTTCTTCCTTTTTTTTGTCATCATATATTTCTCTGCATTATTGTAGTGGTTCTCTTTGTCCCTGCACACAAGTCACTGTACAGTTGTATTCAGACTTCTGACTCTATTTCTGTCACCTTTTATTTTTGGTTCTATCCTTAACTGCTTGGAAAAAAAATCATCTGTCATTCATTGAGGCTTCTTTTTCTTTTTGGCTACAGACAGTTCCTTTTTACATTCCTCCCTGGCCATCTCCATGGCTTCAGACTAGAGCTATTCTGGTTCTGGATCAATTAGGCTTAATGGTGCAAATCTATTTTTTATGTTATATTTAAATTCTAGAGCAGGGGTAGGCAACCTTTCCCCTTTAAGGGCCGAGGGACTTCAGCTCCCAGAAGCCTCAGCCATGTTGGCCAATAGTCCCATGTTGGCCAATAGCTCCTAGGATTCTGGGAGCTGAAGTCCCTCGGCCCTTAAAGGGGAAAGGTTCCCAACCCCTGTTCTAGAGGGATGTTCTTCACTATTTTGTATTTAGACATGAGAATTGGTTTAGTGTTCTTCTTTAGCTTTGCTCTAATTTTTTTATATTAGCAAT